CCACAACGTTTAAAAACGCGTTTAAATGATAAACTTACATCATGATGGCGCAGCAAAATTTAAATATTTCTACCGGATATATTATCGCCAGTCCTTTAGGCGAATATAGAGTTTAATCAAACACAAAAAGCAAAATTATACATCCATCAAGTTAATATTCAAACTTACCGAAAGTTTGTGGGGTCGATGATGACGCTGTAGCGCATATAGCGCATACCCACTTTTTGCGCCACTGCCTATTCTAATAAGGCGCAGGCAGCAATCATCTATAGGCCTACGTGCAGCAGCAGGTCGGTCGTTCACAAGTTAAATATAGAATAAATATATTTGTCATATCAAATTAAAACCTGACGTTTCAATTTACCATGCCCTGCTCAGAGCCGTTGGCCCTGCATGCCTACGGGGGTTTGATTGACAGGTGGCCTGGCCAATCATAACGCCGAATACGCAACTTTGTCCGACAACAAAGCTGTCAGTCGGTGGACATGAACTTGAAAACGGTAATGTTTAAATTACTTAAATTACAATATTTGAAAGTTGAGACTTTGTTTCATACCAACAGTAAGCTGCTCTGAACTCTCTCTCGTAATCACTCGGTGTAACGTTAGTCTTTGCCCCGCGAAGTATTTTTCACTGCGTGAGTGCATGAGAACATGATGTGCGTGACTCGTGAGAGCCGCCTGACTCGTGGCCCGTCACATAGTACCTAAAAAAGGCGGGTCTTTGCGATGTATTAATGATAATGATTCCATGATAATGCATGGAATATAAGGCAAAGTGCAACTAAATAACAGGGATAATTTGTGGGGGACGTTGCGTGGTAAGGCTTTGGTAATCAGATGGCTTGCAGTATCTGCTCCACGAGTCCACAGCCAATCACGGGCCCCCTCCTTGCTTGGGCCCTGGGGCTTAAGCCCCGCCTAGCCCTATGGTTAATGCGGCCGTGTGTACAGCTGTGTTTTCCGGTGTGTTTGTTGCCAAACTCAAAAATTTGTGTATTTTTAATTATTAAAAAATGCCATTATTTTATATGGAAAAAGTTAAAAATTGTATTTTATTAAAAAAAAAAATTTGGTTTGACTTGTATATATTTTTGATTAGATCAGACATGTTACAATGTACTCCACCTATGGGGCATGTTGTCACATTTCACTTCCATTCTTTCAGGGTAAATCAAGAAAAAAAGTATACACTGTATTAATAAAACAAAACCACATAATTGTACTAGACGTGGTAATTTTTATGTAGTTTTATGTCTCTCATACAGGGTTTGTAAGTTAACTTAAAAAAATAAAAAATATAAAAATGACAAAACACTACTATTATAGTATAATAGTACTGGCAAGGATTATGCTTTGATTCGGTTTACTTAAATTATGTTTTAGGATACGTTTCACAACGACATTGTACAAAAAACAGAAAAGTTTTTTTCTCTGCAATAGCAAAAGTATAGAATACGACGTTGTCAAAACGACCCCTAATCACACGAATCCGCGAAAACGACTAAACGCGTTAGTCAGGCCAGGCCAGTAGAGGGCGATGTCACTTGATAAAGAAACACACAGCTATAGACCGAACACGTGAATAACGCCACATATTCACAGTATCGTATTCAAACGCTGTGTCCGAAATCTCAACTCAAACCACTACTCCCTACCCCCTATGTGGGGGGTAGGGCACTATATAGTAGGTCACCAGCATAATAGAAACACCGCTTTCGGACACTAGTCGATCGTCTCTCGGCGCCGTTGATTACATCATCTGGTGTCGAGCCGGCTCTGGGCTAAATAGATTTTTTATAATAAATACATTACTTTATATTGAACCTATTTCTCCAAAATTTTAAAACTAAAAGTAATTTCTGGCCGTTTCTGTTATAATGCGCTACTCCACACATGATTATAACTTATTTTTACGATCAGCGCAATACAGGGCTTGGGTTAGTGACCATCGGTTGTAGCTACACTACTTTTCAAAATGCATTCTGGGATACATTGAGTGGACTATAGGATATAATAATCATCACTATACATTCAGACAGCACTACAAAATGGCGAGCTCACTATATAGTCCACTATATAGTGAGTAGTGGGTGATTTCGGACAAAACTTTTGCGTTTTCGAGTTCCCAAAACGCTGTTGTTGTTTAAATTAACAGCCAAAATGCATAAAAAGTTTGATGTTTTTAGTTGAAGATGTGTGTAAACGGTCGCTCAGTTTGGTTTTCCCTGGTTCTTGTTTGTTTAATCATGTTTCCATGGTTTCTGTTTAGTACTTCACACTGTAAAAAATATTTTCAAGATTTGTTATCACACCATATTTTCTTTTGTCAAATCAACTTTATAATAATTTATTTAGTTCAGATAACTTATTATTTTGAGTTTCTGATGGTTAAATTAATCTCCTTCATTGTATTAACTCACTTTTTCCAGTTTAATCAACTTAAAATTTTAAGGCAACTCAGGTTACTTACTTTTTTAAGTTAAACCAACAATATTTTTTTACAGTGTAGTAATCACAACATTTTTTTCTTTTGTCAAATCAACTTAAATAATTTATTTAGTTCAGATAACATTTAACTTTGAGTTTCTGGTGGTATAATCTCCTTCATTGTGTTAACTCACTTTTTCCTGTTCAATCAACTTAAAATTTTAAGGCAACCAGGTTACTTACTTTTTTAAGTTAAACCATCAATAGTTTTTTTTACAGTGCACCTGTTCTCAGTTCTGTTAATGATCTCCTTCATAGTTCAAGTCCCCAGTTCTCTGGACTGGTTTTTGTTAATGTGACGTAGTAACACATTTTGGTTAGTGTTTAATCACCCTTGTTCCTGTATTCTCCCGAGTTATTCTGAATTTAAAAGACAGATTTCTTTAGTAAATCGTGTTTACTGACCAGCAGTACGTGACAACTATCGGTAACACTTTACTTGAAGGGGTGTGCATAAGACTGACATGACACCTTCATAATCATGACATATGAGGGAAGCTTTATGCATGTTTGTGACAGCTGTCATTAAGTGTCATTCGCTCAGTTATGGCATTTTTAATGATCATTTTTATCTTTAATGATACTAAAATAACAGCCCTTACATCACCTCACACCTTTGTCCCCCATAATTCAAACAATTTACACTCAAATCAATATTTCATGTCCATTAATTAATTTATTTCCTAATGAACCATGTAATAAGCGGGATAATGTATGGTCAGCTGTATAATGTACAATTAGGTAGTAATTATTGCTTAATTATCGTTTACATATGCACACAATTATCACTTATACATTGCACAAAAACAAAGCCTATTTTAAGATGTATTTCATTTTATTATTTTTGCATTGCACTGTTTTTTTCATGATGTTTAAGCACATTTAAATCCCCTGCCTCAATTTTCATCAATTTATTTCAGAACAAAAAATCTCATTCTCACTACCACAATATTATTTTAATTGTGGATTACAGATAAGTAAAATAATTGTAATTATTAATTTATTACATTATTTATATATTTAGCTTGCATTAGAGTCATGATAATTTATGCTTAATTACAAATGAAATACATAACTAAATAAATAAAGAAATAATCTTAATGGTCCCAGGCTTTATTTATATATAGCACGTCGCTTTCCATATGTACTAATGTACAGCAAAGCACTTTACAATCTCTCCTCAAACACCACCAGTAGTTATCTACAAATAATTTTGTTATTTTTACTTTAGTTTGGAGTGAAATATGGGCCAGATAGTAAATTTTATAATTTTATAATCTATTATAGTAAATATAATCATTATATTAGAGTCAAAAAGCCTAATAACCATTTGATTTCAAAGACGTGCCAAATATGCAAAGCTTAGACGACTAAGAGGCGGTCAAAGAAACTTGTCATTCATTTGTCAGGCAAAGCACTGATCTCTAAAGCTGACTCTTTTAGCCATAGAATATGTTATTTATGAAAAGCGCCTCCATTTTAAAAAAGGCATAACAGGCTGTTGACACTCTACATAAAAATAAGAGGTGTTGACCTTTACCGCTATCGCCCCATTTCTGCCCTATTCTCGCTTTCCCTCTCTTCATGTTGCCTCGCCTCCTTTCAAATGCACAATCCTCACCTCTTCTTTTCACTGTTATCTCATATAATTACCCAACCCATTTCTGTCCGAATCCCTGGAGGCCCCCGAGCTGCTCTAAAGGCCACTCAGTGTGTCCAGGCAAGCAGGGATTCAGTATTCAGCCTCTAATTAACCACAGCGGTATTCCAGCAGGCCCCAGACCAGCCGAGTCCATATGGCTGCTACAAGGCCGGAGTGATTATCACAGAGAAAGAGAGGGGATGAGTTGATTGAAACGAGAGTGGATGCCCGTATTATTTTTAACGACTCTCGAGATGACGGTGCATTTGTTATTTTTAAGCAGTAGGACCCTAACCTTGACCTCCCACTCACCAACTCACACCTCTGTTTATGTGTTAGCAAAAGCCATTAATGAGTGTGTTTGTGTGCCATGAGTTAGAGAGAAGGAAAACATAGTCATATTTTATTTATAGCTTCAGTATTGACAGTGAGACAACAGCATTTCAGTCAAGTCAGCTTTATTTCTATAGCGCTTTATACAATACAGATTTTTTTTTTCAAAGCAGCTTCACAGTAATAAACAGGGAAAGAACAGTCATTAGCTGTGTTTCCATCCGAAGTTGAGAATGTGTTCAAGAAAACAAAACCATCGATTCCTTGGAAATTGGTGAAAAATAGCTATATTCCATATAGTATTTACATACTATGTCCAATGTTTCTGCAATCTGGGAATCTTTTAGTTTTGTGTGAACTGTCCCTTTAAAAGAGCCGTTATGTCTTTAATGTCTGTGTGTGTTTGTATATTTATGGAAGTGCAGCACAGTGTAACAGGTATCACGCTGACATGGTGTGAAAAGAGTTATTAATAACACCAAGTTTATTTTGATAGTGTTGCTGTATGATCAGAAACAGCTTTTTCTCTCTTGCAGACGCCAAAGTCAATATCAGGGACTACCATGGGAAGATGGCAGCTCATTACTGGAATGGCAGCAAGGATCTTTTTACAGAACACAGATCTCACTCCGGTACTTAAAAGTTTTAGTTTCTATTCAATGTATCACATTTGCAGATTTGTGTTTATAACAATGACTAACAAAATCATTTAGTATATTTTGTCAACACTGTAGTGCTGTTGGTTGTTTGAGGTGATTGACAGCTGTTTTCCTCCACTCAGCGGGCAGCTTGTCGAGGGGGAGGCGGGTCCAGTGCTACACACAGCTGTCTGCCCTCCTGTCTCGCTCTCATAGTAACAGGAACAGCAATGCAGAGCCGTCCGGCCGTCAACTAGAGCCCACTCCCTTAAACCGCTCATCCTCATCCTGATACACACATCCCGCGTTAACCACTGCTCAGTATTTGATATGACCTCTTATAGTATTGAATAAAATAAGACAATGTCACTGTTTAAAGGAAAATAGTTTTGCTGTCATCATTTACTCACCCTTATGTCATTAAACTTATATGCTTTTAAATATCTATATATAGAGAGAGAGAGAGATAGGGTGTGATATATAGAGAATTATAGGTTGAATTCAGGTTGATTGGGACACTTTTTATTATCTATAAATTTAAAGGTTTAAAGGGTTCAGAAGACTTCTAAGTGAAAAAATAAGAGCACTTGTACTGAATGTGCACTTGCATTGTACATCACATCTTAATACTTGAAGTAATACAAATATTTGCCGATAATATTATTAATGAAATAAAAGTCACTTTAGTGTACTAATGCAAGTTCACTTTCATGACAGTCTCCAAACACACTTAAATAAACTTTTTTAAATGCACTTTGTAATAATTTTTAAAAATGTTTTACATTTTAAATCATTATGGTTTAATAATCTATTGTCATGCTTTACAGAAGTACATTTATTTTAATGTGTCAACTGACATAAGGAACATGTGAAATATTTGATTTTAATTTGAACTGTAGTGTGTTATTTTATATCAAATTACCATTAATATTTTTTAACCCCTTATCTGTCACCCCCCTTTTTTAACATTGAAATACACTATACAAGCTGAAATGGTCGTAATTCAAGAATTCTTTGGAATATATATATAAGTTTGGTCTTGCTTTAAAGAAAACAATCAGCAGATTATTACTGCAGTGAAAGCACTTCAAAAGATTAAAGTATGAAAAAGTTATGGAAGTTATAATATACAGTAAATCAAATATAATTTATTAATATATATAAAATAAATATTTTACAAAATATTTTTACTATAAAATTACTATAAAATGAAAGCTATATATCTAACCAAGTTGTGTTCCAAATTTAAAGTTGATATCACAAATTTTGAAGTTCCCATGAGATTTTGTTTAGGCGTTATACCAAAAATAGCCACCGGGTGCCATTGAATTCCATTGAATTTAATTGTATGGATTCTGCCATAACAAAGTAATACATTTCTATCCAAATATCACTTCTGTCACTAAATATGGAACCTTGAGACTCAGACCTTTCTGACAATATGTGTTTTTTCAAGATTAGAAAAGGTTTTGATGATAAATTATGAAAGATGATTCCCAAAAGGGGAGGGGCCTAATAAAAAAATAACATTTCTATGGTAACGAAACGTCCAATTTCAAAACAGTTATCACAGGATGAATTTGAGTTCGTAAGCTTTCAAATGATACCTAATTTATGATAACTACTAAAATATGTGATATAAAAATAATAATAAAAAATTATATTTATATATAATATATTATACTTTTTAGAGGACTTCTTACCTTACTTTTTAAAATATAATTTTATCTTTTTTTATTGACAAATACTAATTATGTTTTATTATGAACTTTTAGCACTAGAAACCAAAGTTTCAATTGTTAAAAGTGTGTGCGTCGACTTTTTGTGACAAACGTCAGAAACTCCTGTAATGACGTTGATTTTTTTGAGGCGCACTCTTGTCATAAATTCATATATTACTGTTCGTTTATAATGTGTAAGAAAGAAATAGCGCTAAAATATCAATTTAGGACTCTTAGACCTTTCCAACGATATATAGTTTGTCATGACTAGATTAGGATTTAATAGTAATATAGTGAAGTAAATTTAGATTGCCCGTATACAGGCAAGTGACAGTTGGGGTTAAATGTACAAAATTGCATCCATTACAAATGAGTAATTACAAATATTTAAATACATGATGAAACAACAAAATATTCAAATGCGATCACATGGTTAAGCATAAAAAAGCTTTTAAAGGTAGTGTAGGCAATTTTCGGAGAGCCTAGCAATAGCAAGCTAGCTTTGAAAGCAAGAGATCTTACCCACGATTCAGAGCGTCTCCAAAGCCACGCCTCCTTCAAAACACATAAACGCACACATGGAGTAAACGCAGCATAAGCTGGTTGCTTTAGTTCTAGACTGTTGCATCCTCCAGATGTCTGCCCAGGTCACAGTCAGGTCTCATCGTGTCCAGGCTCCTTGACTGCCCTAGGATATTGCCTTTACGTGAAAGCGTTCCTGGTCCAACCTGGTAATTTCATCATGGCTTTAGACCAGAGCTGCTGAGGTGCTCCCCAGCCTAGGCCAGCTCGACTGGTCTGGACTAACCCCATCACCTCTCTGTTGCAGACTGGAGATAGCACGCTCTACAGCTTGCACCCTTCCATTTATGGCCTGTGCGGAAAGGGACTTTCCCACTCCATATAAGTGGATCCACTGAGTCCTTTAGGTCCAGTACAAGTCATGCCTTCTCTTGCTTGTACCCTAGGCTGATGGATTTGATGGGGAGCTCCAGCATCTTCCGGCCGAAGAGACCTGCGTCCGAAAAGCAATGGGGCAAGCCCAACCACTTCCGATTGTAGCTATAGGCGAGGCTGTCCATCCTGCTAACTTCTGATATGGGAATTTCACAGAACTTTAGAGGCCACAGCATGCGTTAGTATAGTGTGTGCTGGTAGCACCACACCATCAATTCTTGCCAAGCCCTCTGCAAGTTGTTTCCTGCTTAGCTTCCCCATCTGTCTGTCAGATAAATGTGCGGTGTACGGCCTCCCCAGGCTTCTCAGTCGTGGAATGGTCTTCCCTCGGCAACAAAGATGATCATGGCATACGGCAAGCCTTTCCTTATCGAAAGACTTCTTGATTTTTCAGCTTGCTTTTACTTCTTTCCCATTTGAGCAGCTCGTCAAAGCACTTGAGGAGCCTGGTCGTGCATGGAGCCGTCTGAAGGATGCTTGGTACATCATCCGTGTAGCTCCTCAATGGTGGAAGCCTTTCACCTGATGGTAGCTTGATGACCCTGACTACTTGCCTGGCCCCTCTGAGAATTACCTTGATGGCTAAAACAAATAGGATGGGGGAGATGGCACACCCCATGGCAATCCCACATTCCAACTGTTACCATCTTGTCGCGTAGGCCTCCAGGGTCTTATCAATACAAAACAGCAAGTTCAGATACTACCTCTGCGGTCGCGCCGAGGCAACAGGACGTTCATAGGTCACGAGGCAAACTCTGGACTCAAACTCTGGAGCGGACTCTTGAACTGAAGCGCAGTGAACAGCCCAAACACACCAAATGGCCACTGCCGTGATGGGGAGTACAGAGGACAAACCTCTGAGATGGACAGCACAGGCAAAGGCAGGCTTGAGACCGCTGTGGTCTGTGGGCTCGATGGCACTGTTCTAGGGACGCCGGCTGCACGCACCGACATCAGCAGTGTCCTCCAAGCTGGATGGCAGTTTCACTCGCCTAGGAACCACCTTTATGCCTTCATGTGCGACATTCATAACGACCCGAAACTCTGGCATGGCAACCGTGGCGGCTGGAGACTCAGGTGTGGCGGCCATCTTGTAAACAGGCTCTGGTATGATAACAACAAAACTGGCAGACATTAAAAACACAGGACTAGCACCCATTAAAACTGTGCATGGATACAAGGCTCAGATGCAATACCACAAGACATGCAAGACCTAGCGAGGAGTGACTGATAAACCGGCTTTATATAGGGTGAGAAAATGAGACTAATTAGACACAGCTGAAATCAATACTGGAATATGAGTCAGGGCAAAGGATGATGGGAAATTACACTTGCTGGCATCGAAAAGTCATTAAAGACATCGTTAAAATACTCCAAGTGACTACAGTGGCTCAATTTTAACTTTATTAAATGACGAGAATACTTTTTGTGTGCAAAAACAAACAAAAATAACGACTTAATTTCAACTATTCACTTCCTTCTCTATGGGCCTGTAGTCAGTTAATGTAGTGTGATTGCGTAGTAGAGCTACGTCACACGTAGGCTCACAATGTGCCGACGCTGGTCATGTGTGTGTGATGCGTGTTACGTACAATAACAGAAGCTTACGCTATTAAACTAGTAACCTGACTCGAGGCAGAGGGAGAAATAAACGATTAGTTGAAACAAAGTCGTTGTTTTTGTTGTTGTTTTTTGCGCACAAAAGTGTTCTCGTCGTTTGATAAACGTAAGATTGAGCCCCTGTAGTCACTTGGACTATTTTAACGATGACCTTTAATGACTTTTTGAGGACAGCAAGTCATTCCCTCAAGAAGTCTATGGACTATTGTATTGTAAATATTGTATGCAGGAGTGATCTTAATATCTTAATTTGTGTTGCGAAGATGAACGAAGGTCTTACGGGGTTGGAACAACATGAGGGTGAGTAAATACTGACAGAATTTTCATTTTTGGGTGAACTAACCCTTTAACTCTTGCTAGTCTGTTGAAATATTGAATACATTAAGTCCTGAAAGAGAGATGATGTTGCTTTTGGTTAATTCATCACACTGGAATGTGTTAATTGTGGCCATTTTAATTTAATAAACTATAATCTCAAACTGTTTCTTCTGGCTATGAGTGAAAACAAAACACACACACACACACACACACACACACACAAACACCACTTATCTGATACTTGAACTGAAATGACAAACCTTTGCCAAACATCATTGCTTTTAATATTGCATTTACCTGTCAGAAATACCAAAACTGTCTTGCCGCTTTCTCTTTATATATACTCCAATTAACACAACACCTTGAGGAACACAACATGGCGTAATGCCTCTGTCCGTTTGTTGTATCTCAGGCCTTTGTCTTTGTTTGGACACTAGCTGCAGTATTTCACACTATCAGACCAACTCTTTAGTCTGGTAGGAAGGGGGGGTTCACCTGCACCCGAAAGATATACTTTTTTAACCTAGTTTTTTGTAATCCTTAAGGTGTCTAGAAAATGAATTTTGATGTTCCCCGCGCAAATTTTTGTCCCATATGTGATTTTTTGTATCATCTTGTGTCCATGCTTGATTTTTGGCTGCGGAAAATGAAAACTTTAAATCTACATAGAATCTGAACAATACATCCTACAGACACAATCTACCCCATTTTCTCTTCGTCTTTGCATGAGGAATTGATAGATATGAGGATTGTCTTGATTAGATGATGTATAGTGCATAAAAACTCAAATAAACACCAAAAAATGTCAAA